AGTGCTTAGTAATTTCTCTAGCCTAATATAAGGCATGTTACTTGTCTTTTTTCTCCACCTTCTCCAAGAAACGTCGAAGAAACAATTTCATCGTATTTTGTGTTCTTACAATGTTTGGGTTTTTTTGCCCTGCATTGAATTGTTTAGTGTTTTATTCCTTTACGTTTTCATGTGAAAGCAGTTTGGACTCGAGAATTTTGTTTGTCAGATTTCTCTCTCTCTCTCTCTTTTTTTTTTTTTTCACTTTTTCTATCCAATAGTTCATCTGAATCCTAAAAATTAGTACGATCCTTCCCAATTTTGAATAACTTCTTGATTATTTTCTCCTCATGAAACCTCCAGCACGCCTCCGTCATCAAGTAGCACATTTATGCTCCCTACTCCGTAACCTGCGATCAAGCTCTATCTTCCTTTTGCTTAGTTTAACATTTCCGCGGGAAACACAAAAGGGATCTCAGGGTTATGCTACAAATTGGTCCCGGATAGCGCTCGCGGTATCCGTTCTTTTACTTAATAACTATTAAATGTGACCGGTAATTTACAGCAACTCATGCAACTATCCGAACTGACTGTTCGTACGACTTAAAATAAACTAGAATACAGTTGCTTACCGTAAGTGTCCCTGGGCCAGTGGGCCGACACCTCGACCGATTTAGCCTGAACTACAATCGGAGCTTGGCAAAAAATCAAGCTTAAAAGAGCAGTCATCAACATCTCAAGTTGATGCCAGGTCAAAAGATCTGGTTTGTTCCACACTGGGCCGTAGTTGCTTTTTATGTCGAAACCTAGTTTGGATTTTTAACTCCAGCATTTGTTAGTTATATGATAATTGATCTTTCGCCTGACCAATCATAGCCCTTACCCTCCATTTGTTGAATCGAATGGTTATTGTAAGAAATGACGAAACGAAAAGATAGTTCTATACGACGAATAAATTGGAACAAACAGGCTACCCCTGAATCAAAACGGATAATTGTAATGAAGACAAATTAATCAAGTGAAAAGAGCTCGGTCCTTTTCCAAGAGAAGCGTCTTATTTTTTACAAAGCCTGATAATGATAGAACTCAACTTTGATTTAAAAGGCTGCAGTTAATTTCGAAGGTTGTGAGCGAAAATGTTGTTTCGAAAGTGTAATCAGAGTTTTCGCACCGCTGACAATGAAAAATATACTGAGCGACTGAGACAACTGAAACATCTGAAACGAAACTGAAATTTAATTGATGAAAAAACCTTTAAAACTGAGTGGATTCGAAGCGCTAAGGAATCAGATTAAGTCTTTTGTTTTATCAGTAAATATTTACCAGTGTCCCTCTACTTCACGTTGTTTAGGATCCTAATTTTGTCAACAAAAATATGCTTGAAAGTTTAAGTAGGTCTTTATGCAGCGACAATGCGAAACGGTCACGTCATCCTGAGCTCTGCTCTTAGCCCGTATTTATACCTTTGTTTCCTCATCTGAGGGTACTCAAACTACATCAACAAACCTAAGATCAATTCTGCTGACTCTGAAGAAGCCTTTAACCTGTATTTTTTTGCTATTTTTCTGGACTATTTTAAAGCATTTTTTCACCTATTTTAAACCTTTTATTTTGAAACAAAAAAATAGCCCAGATATAGTCTTGAGTTCTGACCTAAAGTTATGTAACTTAACGTTAAAATAGCTCTAAAACAGTCGTAAAATAGTGAATAATATCAATGCAACTTGATGAAAAAACAGTATTAAAATAGCACAAATGAATCAAGTTGAAAATAAAACAGGCTGAAAATAGCCTTGAAATAGTAATAAAACAGCGATAAAATTGGGATGAAGAGGAAACTACCTTGGAAAACAGGCTTAAAATAGCTTTACAATTCACATAAAACAGGTTTAGAATAGTTTAAACTAGTAATAAATCTACCTTGGAATATAAGGAGGCTCAAAATAGATTTAGAATAGACGTAAAACAGGGTTTAAATAGCTTTTAAATAGCCTTTTAACAGGGTTAGAAATAGCTATAAAATAAAGCACACGAGAGTATAAAACAGGGTTAAAATGGCTTTAAAATAGCCTTTTAACAGGGTTAGAAATAACTATAAAATACAGCACACGAGCCGGAGCTTCGCTATTATTGTTGGTATCCTCGCGGTAGAAAGCGTACCGAAAATGCTTAATTCTAACGGATGAAATGCGCCAGTCACCCTTCTTTGAAATGTCAATTATGTAAAGTCTGCACACGAACTACTTGGTCCATCAAGCCGGCGGTTATCTCCGGTTTCATTAGTATGAAGCCACTAGGAATTTTTCTACGGCCCCCCTGGGTGGGATGTTTCTCCATCGCAGGGTTACCCCCAGCAAGTAAAGTGTCTTGTTCAAGAAGACAACAGAATCTCCCTGGCCAGGGCTCGAACCCGGACCACTTGGCGTACTAACCATGAGGTCACCGCGCTTCCGCGAAATGTCAATTAACACCCTACAAAATATTCATTACCACCCACTGGAAACGAAGGAGCTGAACTGGAGCGCTTTCCATTTGACCAAAAATTCCAGCGTATATTTCCGGAAATTTCCTGGGACGAATGGAACAAAATTTTCCCGTTGACTGCACCAGAGTGGAGAACGATAAGCTACATTTTTGTTCGTATGGAATTTTTCAATGACTTTTACGAGGTTTAAATCGCAAATATACATCGGTTATTGACCAAGCTTGTTTGGTCAAGATGGCTGGATATTGGCCAAGTTCCTTTTTTGCGTGTTCATGGACCGGGACCGAGTTTAGGTCCATAAACTCGCAAAAAAAGAACGAGGCCAATATCCAGCCATCTTGACCGAACAAACTTGGCCAATAAAGGATTTATTACATGACTTTTGGGGAATTTTTTCTTGCGGGACACGGCGGGTAGTCCCGAGCGGGCAAGATAGTTCCATCTTGCCCGCTCGGGTAGCCAATCACAGCGCAGGATTTGATTCATCTTGCCCGCTCACGAAGCTAGCCATACAATAAAGAAGCAAACAGAACACTGATATACGTCGAAATCGTGGCTTTTAATTGGCCACAATAGCAGAGACGTTATGCAAACCACCACGGCAGCGAAAAAAGGGTTAATGAGTGCAGTTCAATGGCTCTGCACGCGTTATAAATCTTCGCACATTTCCTAGCCAACCTATGCAAAACAAACAAGTACACCACGGCGGCATATCTTTTTTATTGGAATTTCTTTTTCGACGAATTTAGTTACGGCAAGTATTTATCGACGGACAAATGACAAGATTCTAAAGTAAACTATTGATCCGTCATTTTTTCGTGGGACGTCCAACTCGCTGTTATCGCGGCCAAAAGAACTAGCGCTGAACAGGCAATTGCGAATTTACATAATTTCCGAGAAAGAGGACAACCTCCCGAGGTATACCTAAATTTTCGAATTTTTTTCCTCGAAATTTCCGTTCCATTTTATTTTCCTCCCGAAATTTTCGATTGATTGGTTTGCCTTTCGGAAATTCAACAACTCTCGGATTTTCTGGAACTTTTCCCGGGAAGTTTCCGAACCATTTTTGCTCGTTTTGAAACGTTCGGAATTTTTGGTTGAATGGAAAGCTCCCCAGGGGCCCGTTTCTCGAAAGCCCGGGAAACTTTTCGGGCCCGTAAAGCCATAGCAAAATCTCGAACCCTAGGACTACAGAGCTGCTTTATTCGCATATTCTTAATATGAACAGACGTTCCCTTCATACAAGAAGTTTCCTGAAAATAAAGTTTTCATTTTTCCATTCATTCATTCGGACGCATACACTAATACAGACGAGCTAAGAATGGCTTTGTGGGCCCGAAAAGTTTCGGGGCTTTCGAGAAACGGGCCCCAGGTTGCTTTTTCCCTTAGCATAAATGTTATGGCAGCAATGGGTCAAGAAGAACAGTCAAATAAAACTAATACAGAACTATAATCAATGAAAGTAGTAATCTCATGACATTTCTGTTCTGTAAATGTTCTCAGTCAACACCAGACGTATTACGCAAGTAGGACTCACCGTTTTGGCATTTGCTTACTATTGTTACTACTCCTTTGAGGCAAACCTCTCGAAAAACTGAAGCAGGTGTTCCCTAAAATAAATATGACTAAGCATACATATCATTTACGCCGTCTTTCTTCGCAGCATGGTACGTTTTAACTTTATTTTCTTTAAGGGTTGTTGTGTATAACCAGCAGGCAGTGAAATGATCAGTTTTCGGTCGGTATAGTTAGCTTAATTTGCATTGCGTAAAAAAAAATTGTTGAATGACAAAAGCCAACTACAATAAAGGCTTATAATTATACGCCTATTTGGTCGCTTTCCCTGCCAGTAAATCAGACTGCTACTCATTTGATTTAAACCGAAAGTCGCTATTTCTCTTCCTCTTAGCATTCAATAAGGTAAGTTCTATCATTTCATCTTTTAGTGCCGGTGCTATGCCAATATTAGCGTAGCCATTCGCTTCTTTTGTGTCGCAGTCAAGAAGTCGCGAAACTTTGCTCAGTCACTGCACCTAACAAAAGAATTTAAGTAAACAAAAAACAATCCGCAACTTCATCAGATTGATACCAGTGTCTTTGTTGAGGAAGTAACTCACTCTTTCCGATCGAGTAACGCGGTTGCTCAGCGTAGGAAATCGCTTGAATGCAAGAGTGTGCAATCCACGATGACTATCGTATGGATTCAAGCGCATAGGTAGTTTTAATTTGTTTTACTTCCACAATAAAGCCTGGTTTTCATATGTCAGGAAAATCTGGGACAGACCTCTGGCGAATGTCCGATATATCGGCAAAACCTGGGATGGTCGGCAAAAAGTAAAATCCCCGATCGTCTGGGATTTTCTCGACAAATGAAAACCAGGCTTAACAGTCTGGTAAAAGGAAGCGAAAAACGACTTCAAATTGTCGACAGAAACTGAAAATCTGTTTTGAAGTCTTCGCAGCCATTCGCCCAGCTTTCACTCACTGCACTTAAGCCGCCTGGTTTTCATATGTCGGGAAAATCCCAGACGATTGGGGATTTTACTTTTTGCCGACCATCCCAGATTTTGCCGATATATCGGATATTCGGAGAGGTCTATCCCAGATTTTCCCGATTTCACTCGTGTTTTCGAGAGACGCCATGTTTATTTGTGATAGGGGGACTGAAGTCCAGCAATTTAGGGGATTGGTAATGAGCGAAATCCATCGCCGACGGACGCCGACGTCCCGACGGTACAAATTTGAGTTTTCATTTGTCGGGAATGATCGCCGACCATCGCAGAAATCTGGCACGCGTCGGGAAAATAGAAACGCTCCGGATTCTCCAGATTTGTCCCAGTTCATCCCAGACGATCGGGGATATCTACGATTTCGAGTTTTCATTAGTCGGCAAAATCTGGGACGGTCGGGAAACAGTAAAATCCCTGACCGTCTGGGATTTTCCCGACATATGTAAACNTAGTCGGCAAAATCTGGGACGGTCGGGAAACAGTAAAATCCCAGACCGTCTGGGATTTTCCCGACATATGTAAACCAGGCTTTATGACAATGACCTACACTTATGTTCATTTTTGCTAACCGCGCCCTCCACGCACACACACACCTCGTTAACCAAAGAGTACCTAGCAGTTTTGTTAACTATTTGATAATTAATTTGGAAATGATATTAAACAGTTGTGGCGTGGTATTTCAAGCGACGTGCAAGCCGAGCGCTGGAGAATTAGACACCGCTATGCTGTTTTGAGACTTTCGACACAGATATATATGAGTTTCGAACCACACTTCCGTAGTTTTATTTTTGTCAGTTTCCCTTATGCTTATCAGAGTTTTATTGTAAACGAAGAGAAGACTGCTAAATTAATTTCTACAAATTCCTTGCTATTTTGTTTATGTTTTGAACATAGATTAAGTTGAAAGCACGCTCGAGTATTTCTACATTGAGGTTCACTCAGTTTCA